TGTGATTAAAGTTGTTCTATCGCTTTTTACCTCTCTTTCTCTCTCTCAATATCTCTTTCTCCCTCTCTCTCTCTCTCTCTCACACACACACACACATATATTAGCAAAACAAAACATAGATTCTAGATTCGTTTGCTTACAAATCAAAAGAATGAATCTGCAATTACATACTGACATATTAAACGCTTAACCTTACATATATATAAAGTGCAATCACCTATTACAGCGTTACAATATATTACCGACATGCCAACTTCGCATATCGATTCGTTCGTTAATCTTCGTTTAATTAACCTATCTAATCTTAAAAATGGAACGATAAAAATTTCACTTGAATTTTGTATATATATCTGCAAATTTTTTCGAATTAGACACAGTTAAATTTGTTATTGAATTCGCTAAACTTCATAGAAACTATTCCAAGGGTACAAAAACATGAAGTCTGGTAGGCTATAAAAATAAAAAATAAAAAATAAAAAAAAATTTTAAAATATGACAATCAACTTAAATAATTAAATCATTTCTTAGGTATCTTTTGCTTATTATTGATGGTGATTGCCTTAAATTATGCATTGTCTTGCAATCCTGACGGCAACAATAAGCCCGTTTGCAGCCAGGATAATTTGAATCAACCCATACGCAATTTCTGGGACCCGACTTGTTATTGGTTGTGCGGGAAGGCCGGCGAAGAGCCAATATGCGAGCGCTGCATGTCAAGTACAATGTTCGATTCTGCACAAGGGAAATGCATTCCATATTATGAATGGGAATGGACGCCACCCTGTCCATTTGCAGTACATAATTGAGAAAAAATGATGAGTTTTTAATTAATTACTTTTTAAAAATTACATAAATTTGCTGTTGTTTTCAATGAGCGCTGCTCTTTAGCAATTAAAATTTACTTTAAATAGTGTATAGTTATATTAATAACAACTGTTTCCTTTTTTAATAAAACCGGCCCGGGGGCCCGTAATACTTTTAGAAGCTCATTGTAATCCAATATATCGTAAATGTCGATTTTGATTTCAACGGATTTTGATTTCAAGGACATAGAACGTCCTGGGGGAGTGAAAAAGTTCAAAGATAACGAATTGCAAGACTTATTGGACGGAACCAGCGCAAATTGTCAAAATACCTTTAAACAGCTTACCGTCGACTGACCAGCTGAAGGATTGGTAGTCTCAGTATTCCGCATATAACTTTTGCAAACGATGACGATAAACTTACAGGCATTTACGTTCATAGTATTTTTGGTCTTGTTCCGAGGTTAGGATATCTACGGGCAAAGAAAAAAAAAAAAAATTTACTTGAAGGGTATTCTATAAATTCCGCGAAATATGTTGACCAAGAGTATTAGGAGTAAGGTACACACATATATATATATATATATACGTGTTCAACTCAACTAATAGTTGAGCTATTATCATATATAATTAGACGTTTCGCTAAATAAATAACTAAAGCACTATTTCGCCGCTTGATTTTTCTTTCATTTCATTTTAACGACTCTCACCTGGCTTCGCTTGATTTCGTATGAAAGAAAAAATTTGCGCCACAAATTTTAGATGACATAAAAGTCAAAAATTCCTCAAAAGCCAAACGCGCAAGCATGCATGCAGTGACACAACACTGTATGTAAATTTCATTAAGTTTTCAACACTAAACCTTCCGGCCTTTAACACTAATTTCGTAAGCACTAAAAATTTTTTTAGTGATTTTGTTTTATTTATTTTTTTTTTTACTTTTATTCTTTGAAGCATTTCTTTTAGATCTTTCATTTAAACGGTAAAATAAATGGGTAGAAGTGGATGTTTAAAGATTTTGCGTTCAATTTAGTTTCCTCTGTGAATTTTGTTACAGTTTTTTTTTTTTTTTTTTTTTTTAATGTTTTTATTTTGTGTTCTTCTTTTTTGCTTTATTTATTTATTTCTTTTACTTTTTTGTTTTCCTTTTATGAGTGAAGAACGAAATAAGAAGCGTTTTTGCCACCAACATAGCTACAGTTAACGAATAACTAAATTTTTATGATTTTTGACGGCCAAGCTACGTTTAGAGAACAGTTACGAGTTTCCTATATATAAAATAACATGTGTGCGAGTGCGTGAATATCGATGGCAAGGAGTTCAAATTGTTTCTATGTTACAATTGCATTTTACAGCTTTTGCAGAGAGCTGTTCATACTTACACGATTCTTCATCTCGATAACACAACAAAATGAAAGATTTTTCATTTAGATGCGGAAGTAATGAATTCTTGTCTCAACGACTGCTCTCTCGATTGCATGATTGTATGTACACATTACATTTTACTTACTTATTGTTACAATAAAATGTTTATGTGTATGTGCGGTGTTTTACATTTTCTCAATTTCGGTACTGCATTTTTTTTTTTTTTTTTTTTTTTTTTGTTTTCTGCGTTTGGGTGCACTTGTGTTTTTTTTTTTATATTGAAATTGGATTTACATCAAATCAATGCAATTCTAAGGAGGCGACGGTTTGCTATATTTGATATTCGTTTTGCATTGTTTTCTGCACCATGCCTATATAGTTATGTACATATGTGGATATATTTGTATGTGTTTTATGCCCGTAAGAAATGTGCAAACACTTTTTGCATTTTATGCAAACTCATTTCGCGCACAATGCCATCAGATCAACATCATCAATTCCGTCAGTCAGAAGACGGAAAAGTAGAAACGCGCAAAACAAAAACTTCATATATACATATACGCACACACACACATACACACATACACACACATATATATATATATATATATATATAGACATATGACTACATATATTTACACACATATACGAAACTCATGCTATGAAACACTTTTAAGAATCGTCAACAATCATCATCGTTAGCGTCATCATCATCAACACATCGCTCACACACACACACACATATATATATATATATGTATATATATATATATATATATGTACAACGTTTACAACTGTCAGATTTAGTGGAAAAGAAGTAACCATCGATACTGCCGCCACCGCTTATTCATGACTGAATCAATGCTAGCTAGTGCAAAAGTGTGCGGCTGTGTGGCTATTGTTTGTCTGCGTGTGCGTTTGTCTTCAAATGCCTTTAATGCTTTATGCAAATCACAGCATCACTCAGTCTCACACATCAAACACACAGCCCAGCACAGTACAGCGCTGTACCAAACTCTGACAGCCATACAAACAATTCAACCAATCTATTTAGTATTCCTTAAAAAACAAATTACGTAGTATGACTGGGAAGAGAGAGAGAGAGAGCTAGAACCCTGGCCAAAAACAAAACAACAAAAAAAGAAAAAAACAAATAAAAAACACAAAATGATAAGAAAGAGTAAAGGAATTCATCATCAAACATACATACATACATACAACAAAAATCTATACAAAAATGGATGGCAAAAATGACTGGATGGATTCCCAAATGCAACGAATAAATGCATACACATACGCACCCGAATATATATTTCACATACACGTACGTACTGTATAAAATAGAATGGGAACATCACCAGCAACATCAACAACATGAAATCACATGTAAACACAACAGAAGTACGAATAATTCGTAACTTGTTTTAAAATTAAAATTCAGCCGCTCAAGTTGTAACAAACAACACGTAACTCGTAACATTGGGTTGCATATTGTGGTTATTGTTGTTGTTATATCTTATTGGCAACACTGCGCTAATGTTGCTGTTATTGTTTTTATTGCTTATATAAAATACCTAGATTTCTTAGGTTTGTTTTTCTAATGCATATACGCGCTGCGGTATTTGTTTGCGTAAATGTATATGTATATGTATAAAAAAAAAAAAAACAAAAAACAAATACATATATACATAATACATAAATGCATACATAAATACATACATATATGCTTACATACACACACGCAAAATTTCTGTATGTGTGTGTGTGTGTGTGTGTGTGTATGTGTATGTAAGTGTCTGTCACTTTTCAACTACTTAGATATTTATACAATTTTATTCACATTTGAATTCGATTTCTTGCCATTCCTTCGCAATTGCAAATAAAATATTTTATTTACATTGGCTGATGTTTTGTTGTGTTGCGTTGCGTTGTTATTTGTACTGTTGTTGCTGCTAATGCTGCTATCTTTGACTCACAACTACTTAGTTGTGTATGTATGCTTAAACTTTGCTTAAATAAAATTCTACTTAAAAATGCCTAAAGCCTTTTATATTATTCTTCGGCTTAACCAGCCAACTGCTTCGTTAGTTACCACCGCCAATGTGCGATGCAAGCGCTATGCTATCGTCAGAATAATCGATTGTATACATCTAGAATCTGTTTTGAAGTGTATATATATATATATATATATATGTTTATGTGTATGTTTTTGTAAGAGTGTATGCAAGTTTGTGGCTTTTGTTGTCATCATTCATTCATTGTCGATGTCGCCGATGTGTTAGAAGGCGTATTTGTTAATATATTACATACAATACTTTGATTGCATACGTACAGCCATTGACATACAAACATCATGCTATCTTCAAACGAAAATTAACGCAAAAATTTGCTAAAATTGCAACAAAACATTATTTGAAAACACACTTAAAACTGTGTTGGGAAAAAAAAACGATGACTTAAATATTGAGAAAATTGAGATAGAAAAATTCGCACAACTAAAAACTGAGGTAAATTGTAAGCATATTTTTTTTTTTTTTTTTTTTTTTTTTTATTTTTTAAAAAATTCCTGCTGCATCCTAAACACCATAATTTCAATAAACTTCTGCTGTGACATAGGATAATTACGTTGTTCGACAAAATCCCAAAGCTGGTGGTCGTTCCTTTTAAAAATATATTTTACCACCTCTGCCTTGAGGTGGAGCCTTGAGCCTTCAAGAACGCAAACATTACTAATCATTGCTAAAAACCATAAATCGATGCCGTGCGTAAAATAGAGTCGAGCTCATTGTGTGTAGACTCGAATGAAAGGAATAAGAAAGAATTTCTTGCATTTTCAAAAGTCGAAACAGTTGGACCTATCCATTTCACTATCTATTTTTCGGATGAATTCAACTGCAGGATAAGCGAAAGCACCTCCGCTACCAGGTTTCGTGTGTGTATTTTTTTTTTTTTGTATTTAACCTGTCAACGATGCACAAAATCATCTTGAATTCTCTAGGCTATTAGGTCCTCTCATAAAGCACAGTGTCCGTTGTAAGAAAAAGGGATCACGCGTAAGTAATATTAATTAAAAAGTTCCTTCCGATTAATCTGTCGTAAAAGTTGTGCGTAATTTAGACGCCTGCTTGGCCATCTCTCTGCTATGTTTAGAGTAAATTTGATGTGAATTTTCTTTCAAATTTCCCTGCAAGTCAACGATTTTTTCAATTAAATTTAATTTTAAATGTATGCTATTTATATGATCAAGACTGTACTATGCATATCCCTGTGTTGATACCTTCTGACATGCGTTGCAATTTGATTTGTTTTTTATTCAAACATTGACATCTGACTTAATATAAAATTTACATACTCGAATAGCTTTTCAAATCGTAACTTGTCTTCTCTCATACCTTCTTCCTCTTTCCCTATCGCCACAATATTTGTATAAAGTAATTGTATTAGGCCTTGATTTCTTATCCCTTTCGTTGTATTTCAACTTTTGATTTTTCCAATTTCTTATTGATTTCCTCACTATTAAAGACTTAACTAAAATTCCATTCATCGCACCAACTGACAACAGCTATTCTGTAATCAAAATAATAGTCAGCTATATAATAGAAAAGCTATAGTTCTTTCGTAGAAAAAATCAAAAGATATAAAAAGAGTTACTTGTTCACTTATCTTAAATAACCTTTGAAAAATATATACAAAGTCATAAGCCTTTC